CACACATAACAACTTAATTTCAATGAGAATATATTCAAAAAGGCAATTACGACAAAAGGTCGATGTGAGTGTGTGTGTGCGTGTATAAACTTAACGTGCACATGTACCACTCAATTCGCTACTGCTTTTCTGAATGCAAAATAATTTAAATATGATGCGAAAACGGTGAAAACAACACACCAGTAACTTTGGTCGTTGCGCCAAATCTATTCACCGAACATGAACATTTCATGTTGTTGAAAATGTTTTGCGGTTGAGAAAAATTATTGTCGTTGGTTTGTAATAGGATTGTATGACCAATGTGTCATTCAATCTCATTCTATTCACTCCAAAGTTGGTTGAATATTGACATCCGTGCACGACGATTCGTTGAAAACTCATTTCAACCGATATACACACGATATTTGTATTGACTTTGCTTGCAAAAGACAGCACACATGACGACGGTGACGACGACGACGACAACACTGAAAACTTTTCATCGTTAAATATTCTTTACTGAATGTTCGCAATTCAATTGCGAATTATTTAAAACTTTTTTTGGATGGGATTTTTTGTGCCTTGCAATGACGGGGGAATTGAAGGCGTTCGACATTTTTTTTGCTCGTCAAAAGAATTCCCGCTTATTATGATTATTCAAAATTACTATGACTGTCAACATCGTGCACCCTCTATGACTTGAATATTATGCGATTTTCATAATTTTATCATTTCGTGTGATAAAACAAAGACTGCTATGTACATTAAAATTGATATGTTGCACGTCAAATATCTGCGGATATTATGTGGTGTGTGATGCGAATAGAATTGTCCCCGTCATCGACACGCACAGAAAAAGAGAGAGAGAGAGAGAGAGAGAGAGAGAGAGCGATGGTTTTTGTACATGGACAAACATAGGGAGAATTTTGTTATTTTTGTTAGTTACTCCGGGATAAAAACAGCATTTCATTAGATGCTCAATATCACAACAATGTTTCGGGATTAAATGTTAAGTGCTTTCCTGTTTTTATTCTTCTAAATTGCGTTGGCATGGGATTTTAACAAGAAAAATGTAATAATTCTCATTTTTTTGTCAAACGCTCTTGATTTTTTGGGGCATCATTTTTAATATATTCGCCGCAACATACATTCTTTTGAATTATTATTTTACATTTGTTATATATTCAAATTCCCAATTGTTATAAAATCTCGTCCGTGGAAAACGTTATGTTATTTATTTCAATTCTGTGAAAAAAAGAAAAGTTCGTCCTCCGGGGGAATGGATTTTTCCCTATTGTCCCCGCACTCAAAAAAAATGGCTTAAGGTGAAATTTACCGAGTTCTGCGAATGGCATTTGAATTTTCCGACTTAATTTGAACACATTCGAACCAAGATTAATGGTCAATTAAGAAAGAAATGATACGAAACATTTTGAACATCTCATCGAATTAGAAACAAAAGATTTGCCGTCTAAATCGTCAATGATACTTCAACTTGTTAATTTGGAAAAGTATTCGGACTTTAAGCAATATAATGAATCGAAACAATTTTACGACAAACGCAATTAAATGATTGAAGGTATATACAATCAAACCGTGTACAATATGAGCACTTGGTTACTTTTGGTACAACAATGAAATAAAATCAAGAATAAAACGGCGCCATTTTCATTGTTCAATTAAAAACTACTTGAACATTTCGCAAGTGCCACTCATGAAAATGGTGGAGAAATTGTATTGAAACCATGGAAATTTGATGGTTGCAATTCCATTGTGATTGCTGCCGTGAATGTGAACGCATTATGTTTTTGGTTAAAAAGAATTAAAAGAAAAAGATTGAATCATATTTTTAATTTCACATTTCGATTGTTTCATTGTGCGCGAAGCATTGTAACTCCAATGGCTGCTTATACCAAAGGTTTCAACACTCAAACAATATATGTAATTAATTTCTGTGTGGGATTCTGTTGTCGAGTCGAGAAAAAGAATGCACGCCTCGAATTCAACGCCAACGTTTTCGTTGCCGACGACGTTGTCAGATGTGGCTCTTGACTTTCGTTGTGTAAGTGGCAATTAGAGCGTTTTTATTATGATGGATATTTGACTTTTGTTCATCGCTCAAGTTTCAAATGCTTCTAAATTCAATGTAATAAACATTTCACTTCATCTCTCTCTCACTTGCTCTCTCTCGTGTGCGCTCCTTAAATGGATTTCCCCCCTTTCGTCTGTAAGAGTAAACAATACGAAATCGAATTTCATTTTCATTGCATTTAAAATGAAATTGATTTTATTTAACAAAACAATCCCTTTCGCTGGATGAAACAGAATCCATTTTAATTTGAAATCTAAATTGCGACCTTAGCCCGGCCAAAGTTAAAATGTGTGTGTACTTACAAGGAATTTTCATTTGGAAAATCAATTTTCTGAGGAGTATACAATACAATCAACTCGGCATACTTAGGCATACGAAATTAATCGGCTTGGATACAACCGAATTGAAAAATGTTAAAAACTACCACGATGATTCACATTTTGATTCCATTCTTTTACACCATTTTCATTGCACTGGCCATCTTTTCACAACTTTATCTGCGGTCAAATGGCTCATTTTCCACAAGCTCGATTTCTTTATGACCAAATGAAATCACCACAGATATCATTGTAGCAATTCATCGAATTGTTGGGAAAGAAATTACTTGAAGTGTTGAAGTGTAATTAATGAAATTCTCATCTCTTTTGTGTGACCTTCGAAAAATTTACATCGCGTCGCATTCACACTGAAAATTTCGTAAAAATTAGCAACCAAAAGCTAGTTTGATTTAATCTTGCCTCGACGCCATTTGATCTATTTTGATGGTCATTTGACACAACTTTTCATGAATAAAACTTTCGGTTCGTGCATTAATTCATGATCGTGGTATTTTGATGGTTATTATTTGTAATTGTGACAATTTTATGAAATCGCACATTTTTTGGTCCAAGCCATCAGCAAAAGAAAAGGCTTTGGTTAATTTTTCGATTTCAGAAAAAGAAGATTAAGTCGATATACAGTCGCAATTGAAACTGTTTGGAAACTTTCTTTTAAAACTACGATACAATGTAATATAATAATATCAAATACGGTGAGATATTCTTTAAAATAGATAAAAATAAAAATCTTGTAAAACTGTTATTTTTGCGCGTGTTTTGGATGAAATTTTCACTGAAAATGTATAAATTCAGTAAATATGCGTCTTTTCAATATTCTTAGTATTTTGTATAAAAATTTATAATTTCTAACGTCATCGATTTTGTATGCTGAAATATCACAAATGCTTTGAATGCTATTCAATCTCTCTTACGGAGGGTTAATAAAGACTTTATCTTTTTCCCGTAAGTGCAATGAAAATCACTCAAAAAAAGCGATCGAAAAATTGTTTTGAAGCGGAAAAAACGATGACATAATCCAGCCAATTATCGTGATATTAATCTCATTCAACGCGTATGAGCACGAATCTGTGCTTTGCAAAGAATTTGCTATTTGTTGACGGTGAATTCTTTTTCGTCAAAGTTGTTTGCGCCGTCTCATCGTTGGTTACTTTTTTGTTTTTTTCGGCGCAATTCACTCATGCATGTACACGATATACATTATGTCATCGTCGTCGTTGTCATCGTCTCGAAATTTTATGATGATGGAAACGGAACAAACGTATTAAAACGAGATAACAAAAATTAATGTAACATAATCGAAATAGCAGCGTTTAGTTCCTCCTTGCGCATTATCCTTTCGATTATCCGTTATCATGTATATTCGCATTTTAAAATGTGCTCAAATATCATACGTTTAAAATAACGCGGTAGCATTGTTGGTTTGGTGCACTGTAGTCATATGCCATGAGAAGTAGATATCATCAGAAAATGTGAGCGAGAGAAAGAGAGAGAGAGTGGAAAGAACGAGAAAAAAATTCCAATGATAATAAAACCATTTCATTTGAGCAGCACAAGACTATAGAGAGATGCTTTATACATGCAAAAGGCTCTGTTGTTATTCTCTGTCCTTGAAGTATTTGCGAAACATGTTTTTGTTCGCTTATTTTTCTCTTTTCATTCGTAATGTCGATATGCAGTTAAGTAAGTGGATCGTCGGGAAATTACGTTTTAAGTGATTTTTTCTCTCTAACCGTAATGATAAGAGAAGTGAAGAAGAAGAAGAAGAAAAAAAGCCGGCAATGCTTTACGTTTGCTGAGCAATTTCACCATTTTCACTCTACATATTCAATGGGATTTTGTGTATGCGTTCAATAAAGAGGAAAAATGTATGCAGCTCTTTTTGATTGCTCTGTATCTCTTTTTTTTGATGCGATATATTTCGAATATTTGCCCGCGTTTGTGTGTACTTTTTTTCTTCGTTCGTTGAGCACGAATCATTGAGTCAAAGAACTTTTTGGAATAATGGGAAAATGTTACCTGTTTCTTTCTGCATGAACCTATTTTGCTGCAACATTATTTATAAAAAAGCACGTTTTAAACAAATTAAAAATATTTTCCCAATTTTCTTTTTCCAAAAGTTTTATACATTTTTTTTTGTATGTACTTCAGTTCAGATATTTCTGTTCCTTGTGATCCTGTTATGTGATTTGGTTGCTTTTACCCTACAGTAAATTCAATTTACTTCTCGTAAAATATTTGCACATGCTATCAAAGCAACGGATATAACTTTATATTCGCTTACAAATTGACTTCCACATTATTGAATTTGTAGCCATGCATACCAAATCAACTTTTGAACTCGCGATATAAAAAAAATACAAATATTTGTAAAACTACTGTCATTTTTTCGAGCTTGCTCAGGTGCGTGCCATCATTACACTCTGTTGACATTTTATCAGAATAAGTTTATAAGAATATAATTCATTCTTTGAATTTCTTTGAAAAGGATGAAATATGTTCAAATTTAGAGTTATATACTTTTTTCTTTGTCACGTGCTACTTGGTGAAATATTTAATTCAAATGTAAAATAAAGATTAAGTGTGGTACTTACGAATTTAATTCCAAATCTAAGCGAAATTTATGATTAAAGGCCTTAATAAGTAATGAGGTGCGGTGGAAGTGTTTTCCGGTCTGAAAATAAAAGAAATAAAATCTTCAATAAAATGTGTAGGCTCTTCAACATTACATGTAGATAAAAACACGTTACTAAAGCCGAAAGTGGTAATTGTATATGGGACCATGTTAGATTGTGAAGATTTGCATTAGACAATGAATCAAGCACATCGTCTCCCCAACAAAGTCGGTCATTGAAGTGTACTGAAGATGTGAAAATATCCTAATGACATTTGTAGAACTAATCATTAATCAAAATCACAATGTCCAATGGTGTGTTTCAGATTGTAAGATTGTTTGAGATGTGAAAAGGGTTTTGAAGCAGCGCTATATAGAACATGGAATGTATGAATATTAAATCACGTTAAATTTGTGTTGTCCATTTGGCTGATTCAATTTCATATCTCGTGTTTTTGGTTGTTCCATTTTGAAGCGCGCATCTTCACGTAAATCAATAAACGCCTGTCCTTAAATGTGAATTCAGCCCGTCGGAAGTATTTCACTGGCATGAGTGAAATTTAATCAATTTAATTGGTATGTTGAAATTCGAAATGTTGTTTGCATGAATGGTTTCGAAGACAAAGACTTTTCAGCTCTCAACATTTATACAATTCAGCGTTTAAAATAGGATATGGTTGTCCGCATCAACCGTATATCGAATCAACAAAACCGAATTTGGTGTTTTCTGTTATAATACATATATAGATATGGTCGCATATATCATCGGATTGGTTGGCCATTCCAATTTATTTATTTTGTGTTGAATGCATGCATTACAAGACATCGTACGCTTAAGATTCGGTTTCATCACATTTGTGGTTGGTCGCAAATGACCAAAGTTATGTGGCAATATACGACATATTAAGAAAATCGATTTTCATTATCGTCGAAATGAAATCAACATCGCAAACGAACCATTAACGAGATTGTTTGGTTTTATTTGTAACGCATCCAACAGTGGCCGGCATTTATTAAATCAATCAAAATGATGATGGTGCGTGTATATTGAAAATTTGTCTAATTTTTCAAGCATCCTACATATAGATATGTCCGTGTTTAGTCATTTATCTTGTCAGCTGTGGCATTTTCACACACAAAGGAAGAATCAAACTGATTCGATAACATAGATCTGCAACAATGTATCGATTACATTGTAAACAAAGACATCAATTATTTCAAGCGATAACATTGCACATTTGCTCAGCCTTTAGTGTAGCCATAAAAGATTTTATCTGCATTCGGTGTCAAACACATTCTAGTTTAATATTGTGTTGCGTGCATGTTTTTCTCTCTCCCCCCCTCTCTCTCACTCTTTCACTCTGTGTGGTGTGTATCTGTAAGAGAGTTGGTAATTTATCGCTTGCAAACAAACAAAAATTGTTATTATATAGGAATGCCGCATAGAGAGTACGCAAGAGAGAGAGAGCTGAAGAGTGCCCAGAGGAGAGGATAGAGAGCCAACGGCGAGTGAAAACCAGTGAGATTCATTAACCAGTTTTACAGCAGTCGGAAATGCGATAAATTGTATGTTTAATCGGCCAATCGAAAATATTTGAAATATGCCAGTACAAGTTTTGTAGCGATGTGCGATCAACGCTTATCATGTATGTAATTTTGATGAAGAAAGAAAAAAATTAAATTGCTCAAGTTTCTGACATCAAAACTATCACAGAGATTGTAAACTACTATATTGAATCACCAATGTTTCTCTTCACTTTCGTACAAAGTCATCAAGTGTATCAATTTACACAGCACGCAGAGCGAGAGAGAGAAAGAGAAAGAGAGAAATGTAATGTCGAAGCGGAAACAGCTATCATTTCCACGAGAAAAGCACAAGAGAAATGGTCTGCAGCACATATACAGAGACAAAAAAGCGATACATACAATGTTTTTGCCGCATGAAAATGTTGTAATTAATATCAAAATGTTTATCGCGGCAAAATGGGAAAGCCATCGAGCCATCTAATTCTTGCAAAACTGTTTTAGCTGATTTGTGTTGATTCGCGGAACGTTGACTGTGTATCAGCGAAAGGGATTTTCTATTGTAAATATTTAACCGTGCAAACAATTACATGATCGTACTTACAATTTAATTTAAATTAGATAAACACACGGAACATTTTTGCAGCAAAGAAAAATGAAACATATACACACGGTAGCTGATAAGCTGCATTGAAAAGCAACAAGCGAAAAGAGTTTTCGAAGATCCCGAACATTGCGAACTTCATGGCATGCCAAGAGTACGGAAATGTGAAATGTGCGTCGATATTTGTATCGTTGTTAGCTATATCAAAAACAAATTGCCAAAGTTCGACGCGATGTACAAACTTTGCCATACACATTTCGAGAATTTCATACATGCAGACTTAATGTCGCACTTACAGGATAGGGAGCGGAGCGCATACTTATTGAAAAGTTCCATTTCATATGCTCTCGCACAATGAAATATATATATGTATATTGTATAAATCGCTCTCAACGGAGATAAGCATGGTATAAATTGTTTCGTTGATTTTACAGATCAAGACGTTATCTCAAGTGCGTTGTTCGTTCTTTCGTTCGTGCCATGTATGTCGGTGGGGTGTTGTGTATGCGTATTTATAAATGCCAACTTTATCCAAAACACGCATCTATGGAAACAATGGAACGCCATCGGCAACACGAAAATTTACCCATTGAATTTATTAGTCATTTTTACTGATGTGAATGCGTGTTATTTCGTCACCCCCGTATCCATCCATACACATATATTGCACACCGAAGACAATGTAGACGAAACTCACTTTGTTATTTTACATACATATATTTCAACGCCTAAGTTTTCGTTTCGCGATAAAAGTTTCCTCGGTCTCGGTTGAAAACAAAATATTAATTAATAATTGATAATATGAAATTCTAGTTTCTATCTCGCATCATGTCTGTGTGCACACATACAAACGCACACTTTGGCCCTGCAACCGACTCGGAGATGAGCTTATTAATTTTCATCGACGTCAACAACAACAAAGTAACAAACCAATTACCAATTTGGCTGATATGCATGCGTCGAAGCAATATTTCACTAACACGACCAACTTTGATGGTTCAAACTCAATTGTTTCACATTTTGGTTCTTTTTCCATTCGAAGTCGCCATCTCGACAATTTATACTAGACGAAATAGAATTTTCCATATTACAATTTTGATAATAACGTATATGCTTCAAATGCGAATGATGGCGAATCAATTTCAGTGTATCGAGATCAAAAGCGACGAGATTTTTTATTGAAAAGTTACATGCAGATCACCTTTCAACTTGAGAAAATGAAGTGTTAAGTTAACATACAAATCGTTGTTATGCGGTATACATTCAAAATTTGATTATTAGCCAGCCACATTGGATGTGCGGCGTGTTTTGAACATCCTCAGAGATTTGAAAGTTTATTGGATTGAATGTTGTCTGGAGAATACAAAGGGCGGTCGTGTTTGTCAAATTTTTAAATTTTATGCGGTAAATAAACACATGTATGAGCACACAGATGCTTCAATTCAAAATTGATCTTTGGAGAATTTGACTCTCTCTCTCTCTCTGTCTCAGAGGTCATGGTGCAATTTTTTCAATGTATCGAATACGATCAGCCAAATTATTTTGAAAACAAAAAACGCTCTAAAAATCTTTTTTAATTCAAAACCAAGCTGTTTGCGATTCAGAGTAAAGAGTAATGTTGCAACATACAGTTTTCTTTGAATTTTCAATAAATTTACATTTTACATGATCAATTATGAGATGATTTGACCAGGAAACTTGAATCCGCTGCAAATTTCACGTGAATAATCACTACTGCACAATTACCATTCCTGGTAACCAATTTGTTGGTCTTTTGTGTGAATGATGGTTGCTTGAAGCGGTGATTCTTCTCTGGTATTTGATGGATGTATCAATTATGTGTGTATTATTCATAAAATCAAAATCGGTTTTGCGCGTGAGTGTGTGTGTATGAGGGCATCAATTTGAAAATGATATGCTTTGCGTGCATTAACTGACATTTCTAGCCAAATTGATCGCTCTTTGGTATAGCGTTTAATCATCAAATTTCCATGAAGCTATTACGCGTGCACATTTATCTTTCACGATTGCGTGAAGAATGTTTTACTGTTCGATGTGGAAAATGTTGGATTGTGGTGTGGTTTTGCTTGAATGCTTTAGTGATTTGAATTTTGTGAAAGCACTAAAATGCATAGTTTATATGAATAATTGAGCGGGATATATTTTCCAATAATATATCAAATGAGACGTTGCTGCTAAAAGCTTAGAGAGAGAGAGAGTGGCAACCGAAAAATGTGGGTTAATTTGTTGGGAATGGGATAAGTGATTGGATAACTTCCAAACATGTTGGATCCTGTCATTTAGAAACATTTCCATACAGAATTGAACATTAATAATAATCGTTTTTTGCTCTTGTCTCCTTTTGGCACATATTATTGGGAGCCACACCCGATGTTTGAGTTTATATATGGTGTTACATTGCCACAATCCCTTTGGTACATATACCAAACGCATTTTTCTAGCAGCAAATAAACGATTTTCAACAGAAAAAGATCAAGAATTCGAAATTGCCTAAAGTGGCAAAGATTGTGTTAATAAAACGAAGAGTGTGTAAAAATAAATGCGTCCATCGATAGTAACGAAGAAATGTGCGAATCTTTATGCGAATTGAGACATTGACAAAAATCAACTTGAGCACATATTTCAATAGAGGCAATATGATTTTATGTTATGTACACATCATCTATACACACACGCACACACACACACATATGATTTGCTTCTGTATTTTTTGAAATGATCAAGTATATATGTATGTGTATCTGCATGACATGTCGGAAAATTGTTTCTAATCCATGAGAAAAAGACGATACCATTTCGAATAATCTTCATCAATAATAATCCCAAAAATGGCATGAATCATGGAAAACTATTGCGTTTCCATCCGAACTTATGGTATAAATATCCATCTCTCAAGCGCATTTTGATATCG